TCCCTCCCTCCCTCCCTCCCTCCAGCATTCCTCTGCCTGCACCGGCTGAGCAAAGCGAGCATGCACGGGAGGACTCGCTGTTGCAGTTCTTACAATTTTTGCCTGACGGTTTAAATTTCTATTACAAATATGGAAAAAAAACGTATATAAAAGTCGCTTCGGCGTATAAGTCGCAGCACTGACAAATCTATGCAAAAAACTTTGACGTATACGCCGGAAAATACGGTACTCGGCAACTAGAAGTGGGCGGGGCTAATGCGGAAAAGCAGAAATGCTGACATTCTCTCTATGAGGGTTTTCCAGGAGCTCTGAGCTTTGAGTTCCTCATCATTTATAAAATGTCCCGACAAGGAAAAACTTTGTTCCTGTTCTTGCTACTTCAAGTAATTAAGCAATTTCTTTGGTTGTTGTGGATTATGCAAGAAGCCTGAAACCCTCATTTCTCAGAGACAAGATTCCTGTCTGTCTGCAGTTTTCTGAAGATCCTGTGGATAAGCAAGAAAAATACTGAAGCCAGTACTGAGGATGATAAAATCAAAATTTAATCTTGTTTGTTTGTTTAAATAAGAACTGGTATGCAGGAACAACTAAATGTGGATTTAGTCATAAAAATGTTATCCTGTGTGGCGACAGCATCGTTTGAGTCTGTTTCGCTGTATTTGAAAAGTTATTTTTGTTATAACTATGGAATAATACATTTTCAATGAAACTAGCAGAATTCATTTGAAAATATTTAAGATTTTAGCATCAGATGAACGTGACAAAAGTTAATCTGTAGTTAATGATGCACAATGGGGTCACTCTAGAAAATGAGATCAAGGGTTGGAAATTTTCATCAATGTACAAAATATTAAATATTCGTACTTCTGTTGTTCTGTGTATTGTTTTGTACTTTTAGTGCTCAGCATATTCTTAGTTTAGCATATTTCTTAGTTCATATCTTAGATATTATTACTGTTTTTTCTTTACAATTTATACTTTTGTTGGCTGTAACTTGCACTCTGTGTACACAGTTTCGTTCCACCACATGCACCACATGTGGTGCAAATGACAAATAAAGACACTTCGACTTTAAATGCAATGTTTTCGTTTGACTTACATTTTAGAGTGCTTTATACAGTTTTCAAAGTAGAAATTGAAGTCAGCTCTTACTTTTGTAGTTTAAAATACATCCAAGGGTTTTAGGAAAAGTTTAACACATTTGCTATTTTGTGTCCTGAGTCAGCAGAGGTCAGTGTTGTTTTTTCTGCCTCAGGTATCAAAAAGCTGCTGAAGACGCAAGTTCTGAGAAGAAAAAAGGAGTAAGTATTTCTCTACAGCTCTTAAAGCATGACAGAAACAAAGAGCTTGTTTTCCTGTGACATCAGTGTAAAAGTATTTGTGACTTTGAGTAAAAGACACGGATGTAAAATTCTGAATTTGATACAAGACGAGACAGCTGGAGATTTTCTGTTCGCAGATTAATTAGTAAGTTACAATTTCTAGTTGAGTTTGAGCCTCTTAAAGCGAACTGCATGATTAAATGGTGTGTGTCCTGCACGACTCGTTTAATTTGCTGTTGCCTCTCGTGGTGGTAAACTAATTAAAGCCTGGTGAGTTGAGGAACACACACACACACACACACTCTGTTTCATTGTGCCAACACACTACTGTCTGAGCCAAAAGTCTTGTCCTGGCTGACCTCTCATTGGCTACTTGCTGCGACAGGCAAGCTATCAAACCCATAATCCCACTTCAGTGTAATCCCTCCTTCGTAAAAGGTTCTGAGGTTCAAACTGCAGGTTAGCTGTTCGCTCGGTGCGCGAGACTGATAATCAAACCTGGACTGGGATCAGATGAGTAACAGATGAGTGCCTGCCATGAGAAAATGCAAGGTAATTTTGCAATAGTTGTGTTTCTTGGCACGTTTTCTTGGACAGCTGCTTCTAAAGATGAACATCATTCTCTGTGTAGTGACACTGCTGGTATAAAATGACAGCAGCCGCTCTCCCTGCTCCTCTTGAAACATGATTGTATTAAAAGGTGCCTTCACTGTGCTGTGAACAATAAACTAACAAAATGTTCATTTCTACTAAGCACACATTAGTCCCAATTCACATTTTAGTCTGATTTTTAACTTTTTTTTTCAATGCTTCCAATTTAAAATCCAGCAGCATGTGTTTTATGAAGCAGTAAAGAAATTTAGACATGTTTAAATTATTTCTGAATGAAACTTGGTATGAGTTTTATTCTAGTTTGAATGAGCACCAGGAAGGGCCATCTGTTTGTGTGTGTGAGGGTTGCAGGGGGGGATGGGAGGTACCTTTCCAACATGCTTATAAGAGAAGTTCTTTGGGTAAATCACAAAAATAATTAGTTTTGGTGCATGGGCCTTGTATACTGCAATATTGTTCAAACAATTCAAATCGTCTTTTCTTTATCTTTGGCCTTGTATTTTTTTAAAGTGGCTGTGATCAGAAGTTATTCAGGATTTCAGAAAATCTGTCAATATTTTTTAGGGGGGAGACTTCCACATTCTACCTGTGTTATCCATTTCTTGTTTCCGATCATGACACTGTGGTGCAGTTTATGATGATACAAAAAAAAGAAGTGAAATTTTGACCGATGGAGGACAAAACCGGCAGATGACCGGGATTTTAAAAATCTTTTAAGAAATAGAAAAGATTCAGCAAAGACCTGACCCAGGTTCTGGGATGCATCAACCTTCAGCCACGTGTCAGGTTTTCAGCTAAAAGTCTTTAAGGATCATCTTGTTGATGCTAAAATACAATTCTGTGTGTCAAACTGTGTGAGCGTTGGTGTTTTTCATAAACTCAGCTTAAGTTCGAGCACATTGTATCTTTGATCAACCGATCACTTGTCCATTTTAATTTATATAAGGACAGTCCCAAAAATTAACTGGCTGTAACAAACAAAAAAACACCCTTCTGGAAATGGTCAGATACTGAACTGAAAATGAGATAAAAAGCAGCCAAAGTCCAACGTAATCTTTAAACGTCCTCCAGGAAGCCTGGAGCAATACTGAACTGGACAACTAAAGTATTACAAGAAAGTCTGGCTGCTCGTAAGCAAAATCTAAAGAAACGAAGAACCGCTTAAGACTTTTGCACAGTATTGTCTAAAAATAAAATGTTGGTTGATAAGGTTATTTCTATCTTTATTTGTTAGCTTTAATTGAGTATTGTTGACTGTTGAGATTTCTTTGAATGAGACAGAAATGAGTAATCGGCGATCAGACAGCAGGTTACACAACGTGCCCACTCAGTCAGCCGAGCTGCTCGAAGGTCCTGATGGGCTTCATTTTTGTTAACGTAATTTATTTTTCAACTCCCGAACCTGCAAACGGACTCAGAATTGGTCCTCAGGATGTCGGTTGTTGTGACTTCAGTGATGCAGCACACCATCTAAAAACTCTTAGAGGTCCTGCTTTCTCCTGCGCTTATGGCTCAGTTCATCCTAACGGACCCACCTGAGTTTTGTTTACAATAAACATAGAAGCACAAAAAGTAAGGAAATTTGTCTGTCTTTGCTTTTTGACAATAAATCTTATGCAGACGGAAAGCCTTATTTCCCTTTTAACTAGTGCCGCAACTTTTAGGCAAATGCATTTATATATTTATGAACCTTTATTAAACCAGACAAATGAGATCACAGATCTCTTTTTCGAAGGCCCAGGCGTCCCTTGGAAAAGAGATCGTCCCGTTTTTTTTTTGTTTTTTTTTTGACTGTGCGAGGAAACCGGAGCATCCTTACAAAACCCAAGGAGAACATGCAAACTCCACCCAGAAAGAAACCTGGGGATTGAGCCCAGGACCTCCTTGCTGTGGCAACAGTGCTAACCACTAAAGCCGTCGTGCTGCCACGACCATAGGTTTTGCTGATGGAAAAACTAGTCAAATCTCTGCCAGTATAAAACGGATGTTTCTGCCATTGACTCTCGTTTTGAGTTTGTACTACCCCCCAGATGCCTGATTATCAGCACCTGTGAGCCAGCAGTGGCAGTCCAACATGTCCACAGTCTGACCAAACTATCCTCCAAGATGAGCAACGTACTGTATTTTTCAGATTATAAGGTGCACCGGATTATAAGACGCATTAAGTGAAACAAAATGGTCAGATAGGTCAAACTTTATTCAACTTATTCACAATAAGCACATAAAATTGGGTCGAGGTCAGTAAGCACAACCAGAATTAATACACGAGGCGCACCCGATTATAAGGCTCAGTCAATTTTTGAGAAAATTAAAGTATTTTAAGTGCACCTTATAGTTAAAAAAATACAGCAACTAACACAATTAAAATGTTTGACTTACAGTACGACAAGTAGTTGAAGAATGGGATGTCGTCCCACAGGTGCCAGTTGTGGCTGTGTATGGTTCATCCACATGCAACTTGGGTTTCTGTTTAATGAATAAATTGTTAAATTGCCAGTATGTTCATTCATCCACTCCACTAAACGACACCAAACTAGAGTCAATAGCAGAATAAGCTGTTTGACATTCACAGAGAAGATGTGACCATTTCCCCATGGGCTCAGCTTGTTTCTGTTCCGTGCCCTGAGATGACCTCTGCTGTGATTTGGCGCTATATAAATAAACAGGATTGAACTGAATTCTGCTGCTCAACACACAAATGCATCTTTCTAACAAACATGGCTAGATTCAAAGAGAAATAAACAGACTTTCCAATGTATAAAATTTATTGCAAGAAAAAAGCAACTTCCTTATTTTTTTTGTGCCAGATTTACATAAATATGTACATATTGTCAAAACTTTCAAGATTTTCAACACTACAGTAAACTAAATTATTTGGTTTGGTAGTGTTTTTAAGATTGTCTTTCAAAGCTAATGACAAAATTGATTTTTTTTTTTCCAAGCCTGCTGAAATGATTTATTTATTTTTCCTTGGAAAGGGTCGGTATGTGACCCACAAACCCACAAGGATCTTTTTCAACTGAACAGCTGTTGCTAAATCCTTTCACAGTAATTACTGACCCAAGCAACAAAATCTCCATGTATTTTATTTATTTATTTTTTTTGTCTAGCTTTTACTTTTTTTGTGGGTTTCCATTTATAGATTCCTCAGTTACTGCCTACGTAGCATTAAGATAAAAGGCATTTATTGATAAAAACATTCATATTTATTGATGTTTTAACATGCAGATTGTAAAGAAGTTAGTTCTTAGGGGTGAGTGGAAACAACTGTCAGCCGAAACAGGGAAGAAAGGGTTAACTTTTTCCTGAATGTATCATTTCCTGCTCTGGTTTCCTGGCTGTTCTGACTCTGTCTTTCACTTTCCTGGCGTTGGAGGGTTTGGACCGGCTCTCACAAGTAGATTCAGTCCAGCAGCTGACATCATGCAGAGCTGTCTCACACACTGACCTGAGCAGGAAGACGGACCAAAGGACTCTCACCGTACCGGCTGTTTAGTTGCACCTAGTTTGGCTACTTCGTCACATAAACAAAGGTTTCTCTTTTGTTTGTATTTGCTTGGAAAATGAGGGACAATCTTGTCACTCCGATTTTTCCATTCACACTGGAGTTGCTTCACAAAGAGTGTTACTGTTTTTTAGTCTCTTGAAGTTTCATCTCTCGTTAAGGATCCTTTAAATCCCTGTTTTCATGCGACTTTCACTGGGTTTGAAGTTTTACGTTTATTTTACATGTGGTTTAGATGGGAATGTCTTTTGGCTACACTGCTTTTTTCCTTCTCTTTAAAGCCTTATGTTATATATTAGTTATTTTGAAGATACTGTGATTATTTTAACATTTTTAAATAATATATTGGTGTTTGAGTGGTCACCTATTGTGTTTCAGGCAGGAAGTTTTGATACAAAAGGCCATTTTGTTCTCAGGGACTTATGAGTTGATTTATTCTCATGTCCACATCCTCTTTCTTCTACGTGTCGTTTCTTTTCTGGTTAAGGAACTTCCTGTCTGGAATAGTCTGTTCTACTCCTGAAGATCTCTCATTTTGTTTGCTGTTGAAATTTCAGATTTTTTGAAGTTATGTTTTGTTGAAATGTCATAAATACCCAATATCTTACCTGTTGTGGATAACTCTCTGAATTAATGTAGTTTTGACTGGATCAAAGAGCTTAATATTAGTTGGAGCGGGTCCAAAACTAAAGCAGATGGCTGTCAGAGTAAAACAATTCCAGTCTGAAAATGTTGGTGATTGTTGTACATTGTAATTATTTTAATTTCATAGCTTACATAAAAAAAATGGCTAGCACTAAAAGTGGCAGCAGAATTTAGCTGTAGCTCTTCTGGTGCAGTCTGAGGCAGTTCCAGAAAAAATACCACAATATTTCTGCTGGAATAATTATATAATGTGAAGTAGGGCATGATGGAAGGGGTTTAAAAGTAAACTTAAATTTTCCGTGAAGGTTTTTAACCTCCGGTTAGTAGCTCGTCAGTCCGATCAGAATAAAACTCCCGATTTGAGGTCGGTCAAAGATCTATGTACAACAGGTAGGATAATAATTGTTTATAACCTTCACATAAAATCCCTCTTCAAATAAATCTGAACTATCTTTTAAGACAACAAATGCGCAGTAGACGGAACCAACCTGTGTTTTTGTTTTAGAGGAGGCAAAGTCGTCACGTGTAAAATGTTTGCTCGGCCCCGCTAGCTGCTGTGAACCAACCTTTCTGACTTCGGCAGCCACATGTGGCTGCTGGAGCAGCTTTGAACAGCTGTTCACTTCATCTGCTAATGAAGCCAAGTTCAGAGTCAGGCATTTCCTCTACTCCGTCAGACTGACCTGAGGGTCTAAAGCTGTCTCTCTAGAACAGTGGATGCCACGTTACTACAAGTTTTAGCCCCTGTATAGAATTAAATCAGAGGTTCTGTTTTTTGATGAACTTTTCTTTTCCTAACAGTCTTTTGAGGGTGGAACAACGTCCCTGCGCTCTGGCAACCTGAGTGCTCTGAAGAAGCGCTGGGAGCAAGCAGGAAACAAAGATCAGGATAAAGCGCCCTCTGTTCCACCTCCAAGTCGCTCCGGCATCCTCCGCAGACATTCAGCCCTGGTCAAGCCCGCTCCGATCCAAGAAGTGCCCCCTCCTCCAGTAACCAGTCCCATCCCGCTGACCGATCAGGACGATCAGCACGCAGCCAGCCGAGTCCAACAGCCTTCTGCCGCTGCGGAGGGTAAAGACCAGAGCGGGATGGATCGGGATGAGCTAACCTGCAGAAAAACGCATGAGAAGGTTGAAGAAGTTTCCAGCAGTCTGTGTGCAAGTTCTGAAAAACCCCAAGTGCCACTAAACAAGATGAAGATGAAGTTTGAGAGGAGAGAGGACTTCACGAGCAAGGTAAGTGTCAGTTCACATAAAAAAATACTGTTAATGTTCAGTTGAACACAACTTTCAGCTTGTCGAGCCTCAGTTTGCAGTTATGAAATAAAATACCTGAATTATTACACCTTTGACGCATTAATCTTTAAATATTGTAAATATTTCAAAATTCCAACAAATCTTACAACTTTTCAAATCAGGGATGTTGACAGTACAGAATACTTTCCAGGTTCAGGTCTTTGATGAGGGAGGGGTTATGCATAATGAATATTTTACTTGGTGTAGATGGTCTTGAACAACCTCCGTCTGGAGAGTGAATGAACTAATGGATTATCAGAACAGAGCCAAGAACAAAGAGGGTTGTTGCCGTCTTAAAACAACTCCACACTCAAATATTTCACAGCATTTTACACAAATGTTACTTTATAAATCATATATTTCACATTATATGTTATTTACCATACTTGCCGCCGTATAAGTCACATCAGTCTAAAAATGTCTAAAGTGGGGAAAAACATAAAATATGTTGCTTCGCCGTATAAGTCGCATCTATTATGTGTCATCGCTGACCACCCTGAAACGTGGGCCGGTGTTGTGCCAAGAATCAATTGGTGGCCGCGGGAGCGTGCACGAGAGGACTTTAACAAGAATTTAACAAGATTAACACTTAAAACAATTGTTTGTTTGCTCCAAATTATAGCAAAGCTGTGTCTCAGTTGAACTTTTCCTTAATAAATGCACTTTGACGATCAAATCAGATGCATTTCAAAAGCAGATTCGCAGCTGCAGGAGCATGCAGAGGGAGGACTCGTGCATTTCTTCAAAATTTACCAAAATAACCACCTAAAAACAATTATTTGTTTGCTCGATATTCTAGTAAAGGTGTGTCTCGGTTGAACTTTTCCTTAATAAATGCACTTTGATGACCAAATCAGCTGCATTTCACCTGAGTGGTGCAGCAAAATGCAGCTGATTTGACGTTTGCTCTAAGAGTTCCAGATCGAGACGAAGGTGGCCTGGTATGGCAAGCCAAGTGTTTAATTAATAGCCACGTTTACCTATTAATGAGATACTCAGCTTGCTATACTACTCGAGCGCCCTCTAGTGGCTGAAAATGGTAGTGTTCAATATTTTCCATGTCAGAATGAATTAAATCGTCAGATCTCAGACAAAAACTGGGTTATAAATATGTGGGGGAAGAAAAAAAAAGTCGCAGGGCATGCTAATTTATGCAAAAACGTGCGACTTATAAAGCGAAAAATACAGTACATTGAATTCAGCGTTGTTTTGATTCACAGTGTTAATGTTGCTCAGCCTTATACGTTATTTTGCTTTATTTCTAATTTTCTTGTGAGAAAAAGAAAATTTGTTGCATGCGACTAAACATGTAGGTCACTTGGGACGAGCAGGTTTTGACCCCATTAAAATAAAATTTATGTTTTCCTCTTTGAATGACATCATTTCAAATAATTTAGTTTTCAGAATGTCTGTCGGATGTTTTAAGTTTAGTTGTCTGTGCAGGAATAATAAGTGCTTCACACGTCAAAGGTTTTCACATCTCCTTCATTTTAAAATATTATTCTTATTATTCTTTTTTCCCCACCTGGGTTTAGTGACGTACACCTCCACACTTTTCTGTCTTGTCTTTTTCCATTCTTTCTCTGAACTTTCTTTGCTGTTTGTCCAAAACAACAAGTTCTCTCTTCATCATCTGTAGCCAAGGAATGCAGGGACATTCCTGACCAAGGCCCGTCTCATTCTTCAGAGGATCGTTTCTGAGGAGCTTCTGTCGTTATCTCACTCTCTGACCCCGTCCTGGAATTCAACCTTTTTTTTTTGTCTTTGTGTTTATTGCATGCATCAATTAAAATGTGAATGTTCTTATCAGGAGAAACAATTTTTTATACTGATTTCTTGTTTTCTGCTCTTCAAGTTAAAAAAGTTACTCTTTTTTTTTATTTTTACCACTTATATCACCAGAAAGAAACTGACAGAAGACAGTCTGACCAACTTAGACTCTGTTAAGTAGAAACATAGGAGCCATCGCAACTTCACTTTTTATTGTATCTACTCATTTATTTATTTATTGCTGCAGATCAATCCTGTTCTTACAGTTATTGTGAGCTGTTAAATATGGTAGACGCCTGGAAACATAATCAACTATTTAGTTTCAATGTTCCTGATAAAACGGGTTTCTCTGGAAGAGGTTTATTTCTTACTCAGTAGGTTTTTATGTAGAGTTTCTGACGCTGGTGTGAATTTTAAAACGGTTGTTCCAGGATCTTATTGCGACACTGAACTCGAAAGCTTCATGTGATCGGACCAGTTTCTTGAGAACATTATCACTTCATATCCGTTATATGAAGAGCCATGTTCAAAACTTGAACTTCTAGCACAACGCTGACTTCCTCACCTTCATTAGAGATAAAGTTTTAGTTATCACGGTTTAAATGTGAAGCGGAAGCAGTCTCGCATGTGAAAACAGTCCTGTTCTTGTTGGCAGTCAGGATTGTTTGAAAAGGTTTGTCTCACATTCACTGACGGAGAAGTCAACCGCTCGTAACGCCTGCCGTCTTTTTGCTCCTGCAGGCCGGCAGGTCCGTGATACGAAGCACTTCATCTGAGGACATGGAGGAACCCAGCAGTAAGCGGAGATCAAATCAGGATTTGTGTCCGTTTTATGCCCGACACTCGCAGGTTGTCCTAAGATCTGCTCTTGTGCTTCAGGTCCGTTGGACAGATCACAAGGCTCTTCATCCCTGAGGGAGAAGGTGGCCAAGTACCAGTCTGCTGAAGAGGACGCCGCTCATTCTGTGAGTCCGTGGGAAGAAAACATTTCAGATTTGAAACATGTAACAATATTGCCTTGACCTCACTTCTGGTTTTGTTTAAAAACCTTAAAACAGACACACAAAAATGGATACAGTCTAAACTTGAAGTGCTCACGTGTAACTTTATTATTAGATCTTTTTTTTTTTACTGGTGATTATTGAAAAAGAATAAATGAGTTTTATGGAAAAAGCACATTTCATGCTTTGATTTCACTCAGGCATGTTTAGAGCAGACTCACTCACTTTATTGAATTAAAAAATAATATTTAAAGGACTTAATTCTTCAAAGGAAAATGATGAAGGTTTAGCCTTTTTGCTCAAGTCTTTTAAATAATGTATCGTCGAACAAGGATGAGGCTTTACTGATGGTTCTATGAGATTTAATTCCTTTGAACCTTCTTCCAGTGACCGTAGTTCATCATATGATCACAAAACACATGCAGAACGTGTGCGTCTGATTATTTTACATCATTCCCATTCACATGCTGTCCTGAACATATGCTCATCAATATTATATTAAATACTTAAAGCAACACGCCTTTTGCCTCCAGAGGGGCTGCTAGTACAAAAATATTTACTGACTCAGTGGGAAACTTGCTGCAGTACTTGGAAAAACAAGCTACACAACTGCCCTAAACAGGAAATGCAGATACGAAATAAGTGCGCAGATCAAACCGGAAGTCAACGACATCGCTGCAGAAACATCAAAATAAAATCCAATCTGTTGTAATTAAATGTACTTAATTATTTACAAATGTTATGCACAGTCACATGTGATACCACGATATCTAACACGATTAGTCAACGCTCAGAGTGCGATGTGAACGACTCTGCTACTAACAAACCACATTTTAGCTCAGGATCTGTAAAACTGATGGAGTTTGAACCATTTTTGTCCTTTCTAATGTTGATGAGCTGTGGTGTCCATCATAGAACGTGGTGACTCCAAAGTTGATCAGCTGTAGACGTCCATCCAATGATCACTTTCAGAGAATATCAATAAAATTAACTCAGTGGTTCATGAAATTTTGCTAACAGACAGACACACAGGTGGTAATTATGCCATTTTAAAATGCTTCTTTCTGCTAAAGTTACAGAATTATTGCCACTACAGTAGTCCCTCACTACTTTGCGGTTTGTTTTTCGCGGACTTGCTCTTTCACGGTTTTTCAAAATAGCATTGATTGATGGATGAGCCGCATGATGGACATGGAATTTTTATTTAAAATTAATTATTTTAAATTATTTAGTACCTGCTGCACCTTTGTGCAACCCACGCTGTGGGATAAACTTCCCGCTGCAGCTGATCAGCTGTTCTCCGTGCCGAGCGGAGAAGTGGGCGTGGTCAATGGCGCTTGCAGGTGGCAAAGAGCAGAGGAGGCAGGGAGCTGAAATCATGACATTCTGTGCTCTTTTAGAGTTTAGAAACATTTAGAATATTGCAAGAGTGTAGGAAATGTTTTAAATGCCTTAATAAATATAAATTATATACATCTATATAAATAATAAAATAAACTACTACTTGTACTATTCCTACTTGCAGTTTTTCACGCTTCAGGGTACGGATCCCCCGCGATAAATGAGGGACTACTTTACTCCTTTTTAACTTTTCAACAAAGAACTCTATGGTGATTTATTATCTAAAGCTTTTATTTCTTGTTTCCCTTTGTGCTCTTTTAATCTGGTTCAGGTTCCTAAACCATCAGCACAGGTCCATGAGAAGGACACCACCACCCCCGAGTGCAACGGTAACGTCTTCCAGATACTTGAAGGAAACGTTAACTTTTTTACTGTAACATTTATATAACATGGACTCTATTGAGTTTGGGATTTAGAGCAACATTTAATTTGCATCGCCTCATTTTCTCAGTGACTGATTCATATTTTGTTTGTTTGTTTCAGGGAAGAGTGCTGAGCCACCTAAAGCAACCAGGGTGAGGCATTCATGCATGAGGTCGACCTGCACATGTAGGAGTTAGTAAAAGCTTTTCCATCATTGTGCTTTAATGATGATGACTGCTTTATTTTTATAGAAGTTTCGTCTACCAGCGATGGAAACGTGCGTTGCTTGCCAGAAGACTGTGTACCCACTGGAGAGACTGATGGTCCATGAGCACATTTACCACAAAAAGTGCTTCTGCTGTTCTCACTGCAACTCCAAGCTGAGGTTAGTCTGCTATGAAAGCTCATCTACACTCTTACTTGACCATATTTTTGTATTTTCTCATACGAGAAAACCATAAAGATATTTTTGCTTTACGTTTCTAGTCTTTGGAACTATGCTTCGCTCCGTAACAACATCTACTGTAAGCCCCATTTCAACCAGCTGTTCAAAGCCAAAGGGAACTACGATGAAGGCTTCGGTCACCGTCCTCATAAAGAGCTGTGGGAGCCGCGAGCAGATGGAGATGAATGCGAAGAGGAGCTGAAGCCAAGAGAGCAACCAGAAATGGTAAAAAGTCTTGTTGAAAATACCCCTGATGTGCAGCCCGCTTCAAATGGGGAAACTTCTCCATCGGTGAAGGTTACAGACCTCACTGCCTTGCTGGAGAACCGCAGGCAGAAAAACGAGCCCTCTGCAGAGAAACATCAGCCGGCTGCCGAGACCCACCGGCTGAGGATCGCATGGCCTCCTCCGGCTGGAGAGGGCCACTCTGCGTCACAGCTGAGCCCAGTCTCTGAGGGGCTTCCTTCAAGCCGGATCAGGATAGGCAAGTGGCCTCCTGAGGATGACGTGCAGCCGTCGTACCAGAGCTTGGAGCGAGCCGAGCTGACGAGCCTGAGGAGGAGCACCTCTCTAAAGGAGCGCAGCCGGCCGTTTACACTCACAGCTAATCCTACCCTCAAAACCACCACCGCTCCGGGGCCCAGAGAGCTCCGCCGCCCTCTTAAATCACTGCTGGAATGGAAAAAATCATTTGAGGAAAAACAGTCATTTGAAGGAAGGTCCAACGAGGTTCAGCCGGAGAAGGAAGAGACGAAAAAGCCTCAAACACCAAATGAAGCTGCAGCGAAGGAAAGGGAGACGGAGAGTCTGCCCAAACAGCAGGAGGGACGATGTCGACAAACACGAGAGCGCGATGTGGCAGCAGAGGAGGGAAAAGAGAGCCTTTCTCCTCACACTCCTCCTCCATCTTCTCCTGTGCAGCCGAAAGAGAACCGGACCTCCCAGGACGTGGGCTTCTGGGAGGAGGACAAAGACGACGATGCTGAAGATCTGAGTGCCGAGGACATCATCAAGAGGAATCGCTATTATGAAGACGAGGATGACGAGGACTCGATAGTGTAGGACTTTCACATCCAAACCCCACAAAGCATCTTCCGGTTTCATTGTCAGCTGTAGGTGGATCAGTAGTTGAGCTTTGCCTGACTTTGAGTCTGTGTACACATTTTACTGTTTTTTATACACATTTTAATCTTTTTCTTCTACAAGCGCCTTGTAAATGGCTATACTGAAAGATAAACCTCTCAAATTGCATCATTGGAGCTTTAAGCTCGTCTTTTGAAGACGAGGCGGTCTTTGTGACCTTTTCAAATGGAGAAAAGGACTAAAAGTCAGATAAATGATTAAGTTTAGGATTTTAGCTCAGCTTTTAAGAAATGCGTCTGAGTGTTGTCCTCTCAGGGATGAAACAGTCGTTTGTGTTGTTGTCTTCTGGTGTCCATGCTTTTGTTGTGGGTCTTCCTCCAGAGCAGAAACATCACTGCTCTCTGCTTTGATTATAAAGTGTTTTAGAATCGTGTTTTATTTCTAGTAATGTGCTGAAGTCGGGACGCCTCCGGTTTTGACTGTGATCAGTCACTTTTCTGTAACGTCTGCAGCTTTTGTAAAATTGATCTCATGAAAAACTTTGAATAGTTTCCACAATAAGACTGTTAAGATTTTTCCCTGGGGCCTTCCAAGTCTTAAACATCATAATCCATGTTGTAGTTCGTGATTTTGTGTTTTATGGAAATTGATTTTGCGTGATATGTCTATTAAAACCTCGATTTCACATCCTGTTGTTTAAATTAATTCAAATTTTACTGTTGTGCTTAGTTGTCTTTATTTTAACAACACTAATGGTAAAACCTAAATGTTTATTCTTCACTTCCAAGGAACAGACGAGCGTCTCTGGTGCTGATCTTTACTTTATCTATTAAACCAGACGTTTGATTTCAGAGAATTTTGTTTTTGTATTACAAAACCTGAAGAAAAAAAAAATCAGCAGTAAGTTTTTTTTATATGAATTTATTAACATTTTTGGCATAATTGCTTTAATGTACAAAGAATAGTCCAGCAGAAAAACAAAAATACATGAAAGAATCTGTGAGCGCAGTATAAACAAGACGCAGAAGGTCCAAAGGATCATTCCTTGCTTACAAGAAGTGTCACCAAAAGTGAACAATAAAAGAAAACTAAATTAAATAAAACCGTGAATATACTTACAGTAAGGCTGATGTGACTGTACACTTAAGTGCTCTCAGCACACAAACTAGCAGCAACTCGTTGTGAAACCAACCAGAAAATAAAATATTTGCAGAAAGGAAAACTAAATATGACAGCAGGGTTATTAAATAAACATTCCTGAAGGTTTGGAGCCCAACATGGATACGGCAACGTGTCTTTGGCTCTTTGCACCGACAAACATTTGCATGACCAGAATTCATTTTTAATATCGACTGGGTTTTTAGATCCAATATTTTGGAAAATAAAAGACTTAAATGATTCACACCATTAGCTATTTGGATCCTGTGTACTCGTTCAGAACATTTGCTTTCTATTTTTAAATATATGAAAAAAGTCGGTCACGATTAACAACTTATTGCATTTTTATGGAATAAAACCTGTAAAATGTAAAGAAAAAAAATGCAAATTTGCACACACACGTGAACAGACACCGTATTTTCCAGACTATAAGGTGCACTTAAAATACTTTATTTCTCAAAAATCGACTGTGAGCCTTATGCATTAATTCTGGATGTGCTTACTGACCTCAAACTAATTTTATGTGGTTATTGTGAACGAGTTGAATAAAGTCTGACTTGCCTGTTTTGCTTAATGCACTTTATAATCCGGTGTGCCTTATAGTCTGAGAAATACGGTAATTGGGCTCAGAATCTTTAGCGTTTTTGTGAATGAATGATATGCAAGTAAAATTTGGTTAAAAAAATAGATTGTCAGCAGTCTTACCGTTGGAAATAGTGGCTATAAAAAGATGACAGCATTACATGGACAACAGTTTTGGCAGTTAAGTTGAATTGAAAACAAATGAGGGGAAAAAAATCCCAATGGCAAACTTAAGAAAATTAATTAAAATTTGGCTTTTAAGTATTCCTGAGCAGCACATAATCAGCACAGTATGGCTTATTTTTCAACACAAAGACCTACAACCAGATACTTTAACTAAAAAGGAATAAAGTTTCACAATGTTTAGCCCTTAATTTTTGACCCGACAACAATTACAAACCGTTTTCTAACGTCGGTGTGAATATTTTTGAAATCCTGTTTCTCAAAACGCTCAGAGGTTAGCATTGATTTTTAGCTTTATAAACAGAATTTAGACCTTTTTCTTCCGATATCTCGGCTAAACTTTAAAATACGAGAAAAAAGAAACCGTGTGAAGTTTTACTGAACAACCAAATGTTTATATAATTTTTTTTAAATGAGTAAAACTATAGGATCCAACGCGTCGCCTCGAATCTTTCTGAAAATGAGAAGCGCACATCAACAGATGTCGACTAAAACTTAAGAACCCAAAAGAAAACTCCCTGTAATGTTTCACATCTATCTGCTACGGCCGTGGTGTTTCTAGAATCTAAATGCTTTAATAATTATTGCTATCAACTGTTCAAAGAGACAAAGAAATAAAAACGTGACTATAACCGCACAGCGTTCAGCTCGAGTGATCAAGACATTCATGATTCTGAGATCTTCTGGATTCATCCTTACAGTCATGTGGATAAAAGATCCACGTTCTGCTGACAGGTGGGTTTAAAATATTTTAAACCAAAAGGTCTTTACAGCATCAAAACGAACCGTTAGCTGGATTCATACTTCAAGATAAGAAAACGATTAAAAAAACGTGTTCTAGAATTGTCGTTACTGTATTTTTTTGTTGTTTATGAAACCGTTTCCTCAAATGAAGCTGCTTCACATCCGAGCACCGGCCCACACGTCCAGAACCACAACAGTGACGCACGCGGCCGAGTTGTGCAGCCTCTGCTGCAGCGCTCCGACCACTGAGTGTCAGTAACGCTCCATCAGTCGAGGCTCAGCAGCTGAAAGTCTGAACGCCACACATCAGCTGATTTTTACTACTGCGCACCCTGAACAGGATCCATTTATAACCCGACGTCTGCTCTATCTGAACTCTTACATTCATTACTCAGGTGAGACCTTTTTTTTTGGCATTTTAATAAACTTCCTGCTATGATTTATACCACAATAATATTTAACGTTTAAAAACCTTATGTTTTTACAGTAAATAAAATCAATTTAGAACAAAGCACATTTTTGGCACACAGAACATTTTGATCAGTCTTTGAAACACGTTTTGCCAGCATGTTCAGTGATTTTTATACAATAAAGGAGACGTCCTCCAGCTTCGTGTTAAAGTGATGTTTTGGGGGTTTTTTCATGTGAGGGGATCATTTATTGTCCCGTTTCTCAAGCGTCATCGTTTATCCTATTCTGGTTTGACCAAATCAGCCGCTGAGGGGTTGCAGGTCCACCCTCACCTTCTCCCCAGTGCTCATCATACCAATAGTGGGATAGAAACCTGCTGCTGGTAAGGCCACTTCTTTCCTTCCCACCACCTTTCCGTTCCGAGTGAAAAACACCTGTTCCAAGAGAGAAGTGGAAAAAAGAGAAGAGTGAAAATTTGCACCGATTAGACCAATTTAGTTCTGATTAGGGTTTCAAAATGCCAGGAATTTTAAATAATGGAAACGTTCTATGGGAATAATGGGGAATTAACCTGGAATTTGACATATTGATGGCTAGCTCTCAACTTTAAATGTAGCTGAGGAAGTTTATTTTAGTATAATTGGTTAAAACGTCTAGATTTCATTGCTGTGCCGTGCAATGAGGTACCACACTCTAACAAAAGAGAAACCGTCACCTGGACGTGTAGAGACAGATGGAAGTGGAAACATGTAAAAAGTTTACTTCAGAATTATATTTAGTTTTGTGAATTACAATTTATTCTTTTCTTTGTTTTTATGTAGATAAAATGACCCAAAAGACCAAATGATCAAACAACATGTAAAAAGTTTGTTCAGAGTTGTGCGCATGAAATTTAACATTCTCTGTACGTAAATTTAGACAACTGAATTAATTCTTGAAATTCTTAAATGACTGATTTTTATGACTGAGCTTTAGGGCCACGTTAAGGAAAAAAAAATAAAATTACATTACGAGAAGTCATAAAATTCTGAGAATAAAGTTGAAATATTATGAGAATAAACTCGTGATACATCCCGAGTCGGCTCGCACCTGCTGTGGACCACAGACATATATATGTAGACGCCTCTGAGCGCTGAATCGTACGTCCACATCGCCGCCATTTTGAATGTGGCAAAAGTGAAGCAATAGATAGAAGATGTCTCATTCATTCACAGTGGCAACACGGAAAAAGCTGAACAAGACTGTTCTTTTCCAAAGTTTATAACACACATGCACACACACACACACATGCACACACACACACACACACACAAATAGTTGTTGTAAACACTCAAAATAATACATATGTTGGTTTAGTGCTTACCTATAACCTAAATATTTAAGGAGTAAACATTTTTAATAATCATGTTAAAAGTTACAAATGTTGTCTTTGATATCGGTTTGTTTTCCATATATATTAGTGTGTGTGATTGACAGGCATTAACTTCAAACACTTTGTAGAACGGTGCTTATGAAGATCAGTCCATTTGCTTGTTTTCCTTGTTGACCGGCAGATCTGCCACATTCAATATGGCGGATGCTCCAACGTACCGCTGCAGCGGCCAGCCTGCTCAACGAGGCGTCTACGTATTTATGTCTATGCTATGAACAGCATCCAATGAGAGTCACTGTGTTTATGAAGTAGTCTACGATCACTTTTGGGTCACCATTTGTCAAATATGCCTCCATCCACATTATGTCACGACTCAATCCGTCAGTGCATCAACGTCATACAGCTTCAGTTTATCTGTCATCATTTTACCGCAGTTGTAAGACTGCTTTTTCATTCATAATGTCATTTTTTTATTATTATTCTTAGAGTGGCCCTAAAGCTTCGTTGTAGATTTTTGTTTTGTTTCTTATGAAAAATAACGTCAGATAATGTGAACAATTTGTACATTTAGTCAAAGATGAAAACAACAACAACAAAAAAAAGGACAAAAAAGGTTGAAAATCCATTGTTCTCTGAGAGGTGTGGCTGTGACAGTGATGTCATCAGTGATGTAATGCCACGGAAATTAGATAATTAAATTTGTTACTCTTATGAACTTTGGGTAAACTCATTATTTCCCTGACATTATTTGCATGCTGATCAAACAAAACGTTGAGATTTTTGTTTGAACTGCACAAAATTTCCAGTTTCTTTCCATGAATTCCTAATCCATCACAAAATGTTTTCGGTTTGGAATATTTCCGACATTCCCCAGCTCTTTCCATAAAAAACTTGTGAAAAATTTCCTTTGCAACTCAAATTCTGACCATATGAGCCAATCAGTCTTAGAATGAAATTATTTCTACAAAGTGAGATCGCTCTTTCTGTTACAAGTAAGATTTTAAAAGTAATCTTTCCACAAAACCCAACTTCAGATCTGAACTTTGAATAAGTTACATTGAGATCTACAACGGTATCTCACCATGACCTTCCTCCCCTCTAAATCTTCTCCCTCCTCCTCTTCCTCCTCCTCATCGTCATTGTTTGCATACAAGTCATTCTGAACCTCGCTGGGCTTAGGAACCACGTCCAGCTCCCAGTCGTCTCCGTCATCTGAAAGAACCCAGCGAGGAAACAAGGAGTCAGTGGGCTCATGTTGAAAAGGGAACCTTAAAAAAAGCAGCAAACAATATGGAGGCGTTCATGTGCACCATCAAGGTTGAAGTCACGTGGAAACATGATCCCACAGCCCATGACGTCCCCCGCAAAACACCGAGGCCCAAAAGGGTCCCCGACCCCACTTCCATGGAACAACTTTCCATCGTCTGCAAAACATGAGGAAGCAGGTTAGACTCTTATCTTTTACCATCAGCGTGTGAAGAGAGAAAATTAAAACAAAACCTAAACAAACATGTAGATATTTCCACGTTCATCTACTGATAACTGGGCTTTCAGCTCGGCTGATCTGCTTGAATCAGACTTCAGAGGGAAATGCGAGCTGCTACAGAAATGTTATGTAGAAACTGTACAGGACACGCCTCAACTATTAGCACTACAGAGATAACTTCTTTATCAAGAGTTTGTTTTTTTACACTTTCCAGCAAATACAAAATCAAACAGGATCAAAAACTTATAACTGTTACATTTTTATTAGCACTGCTATCAATAAACAAAAGCTCATTCTAACATCTGTACCATTACCACTAACTGTTTATGGCGGGCTGATTTAATTTGCTATAAAACAAATGACAACAAACTAGAGGGAAGTTTGATTTAGGCAAAAAGCAAAAAGCATTCATGCAGCAGCTCAAAGTTGGTTGTTGTTCCAATAATTGTGTGAACGCTCACGAAGCATTCACACTATTGTGATCCATTTGTCTTCCGTACATTTTTCTGCATCTTTCTCGTTCCACAATTTGTGCCATTTCACCAAATCTTATATCAAAATGTTCAGCTCGTTCAGGAGAAGGGTGCTATGACATTTGCTATTGGTGCAACTTTAGCTTTTTGAAATATTTAGCCTTTTCTGCCATTTTTTTTCTCATTAAAAAAAAAATGAATTGAGCTCATTTTACATCCTTCAAATCTTTAGATCTATTTACAACCTTTTACTGCTCCTTTCACATTTTGTTCTGGTTCAGCTTCTTTCAGAGTCAGAGTCAGAGATTCTTTATTGTCATTCGCACCTCATGTGGTACATGTGGTGGGACGAAATTATGTACACAGGGTCCCAGTTACATCCAACAATAAAATGCAAAAGAAAAACAATTATAACATCTAAGATATGAACTAAGAAAAACATAAACTAAATATACACTAAGCACTAATAGCATTTAAAAAAAAAACATTACGTCGAACATCAGCACGAACATGAGCATGAGTCTGTGTGAGCAGATGTGCGCGCATGAACGCATCAACATTGAAACAGATCAGCAGCAACATGAAACAGATCAGCAGCAACATGATGTGATTTTCACAGTGATTATTCTGGTTAGAGATTCATGAGTCCAACAGCCTCAGGGTAGAAGCTGTTCCTCAGTCTAGTGGTTCTACACTTAATGCTCCTTAACCTCCTTCCTGAGAGGAGCAGGGCAAAAAGTGTGTGTGCTGGGTGAGTGAGGTCCTTCATGATGCAGTTGGCTCTCTTCCTGCATCTGGAGGTGTAGATGTCTGTGATGGTGGGGAGGCCGACTCCAACAGTCTTCTGTGCAGCCTTCACCACTCTCTGCAAAGCTTTTCTTTCTGCAGCTGTGCAGCCTCCATGCCACACGATGCTGGAGCACAGGATGCTCTCCACTGCACACCTGTAGAAGGAGGTGAGGACTGAGCTTCCCAGACCAGCTCGTCTCAGCCGCCTGAGGAAGTAGAGTCTCTGATGAGCTTTCTTGATCAGGCTGGTGGTGTTGTTGCTCCAGCTGAGGTTATCATTCATGTGTACACCCAAGTACATGTAGCTGGAGACCACTTCCACCGCAGATCCTCTTATGTTCAGGGGAGTGTAGATGTTTTTGTTCCTTCTGAAGTCCACAATCATCTCCTTTGTCTTCTTCACATTGATGTGAAGGTTATTCTCTCTGCACCAGCTCTCCAGGTGTTCCACCTCTTGCCTGTAGCTGGACTCATCATTGTTTGTGATGCATCCCACCACCGCTGTATCATCTGCAAACTTTACGATGTGACAGCCTGGATGGGTAGCTGCACAATCATACGTGAGCAGAGTAAACAGGAGGGGGCTCAACACACATCCCTGAGGAGAGCCAGTGCTGAGGGTTATGGTGGAGGAGAAGTTGTGGATCCTCACTAACTGTGGTCTGTTTGTTAAGAAGTCTAGTACCCAATTGCAAATGGAGGGGCTTAGTCCTAGTGTGAATAGTTTGTCCATCAGGGTTTGGGGGATCATGGTGTTGAAGGCGGATGTGAAGTCCACAAAGAGCAGACAGACGTAAGAGTTTTTCTGCTCCAGGTGGTTAAGAGCAGTGTGGACCACAGAGGAGATGGCATCCTCTGTTGATCGGTTCTCACGGTATGCATACTGATGAGGGTCCTCGTTGATGTTGATGGCTGTTTTGATGTGAGTCATGACCAATATTTTGAAGCATTTAGCGACTATCAGCAACTATCAACTTTCAGCTTCCTTGTACAAATTTAAACATTAATTCAGCTACTTTCAGCTAATATCAGCAGGTTTTTTTTTTCCCAACTTTTTAAAAATCCTTTCAGATTCTTTCTGCCAACTACAATATTTTTGTGCTTCTAACTTCTTTCTGCTAATTTTAGCTTATTATGCTCCCTTCAGCTTATTTCTGCAAGTTTCAGCTTTTTCTACTTTATAGCTGCTTTTATGCTAATTTAAGCTTTTTTAAAATAATTTCCACTTTTTTGTGCTCCTTTTTACTTCTTTCAGCCTAATTGGGCAAACATGTTCTTTCTGATTTAAGCTTGTTCAAACTTTATTCAGCTAGCTTTTTTAGCCAGTTTTAGCTGTTTTCAGATAAATTCAAGTTTTCAGCTAATTTCTGCTACTTTTAGCCTAATTAACTTTTTTTCTGCTAATTTCAGCTTGTTATGCTCCTTTCATCTTATTTCTGCTAGTTTCAGCTCTTTCGGCTATTACAGCTACTATTTAGCTTTTTCTGCTAATTCAGTTAATTTATATAGCGCTATATCACAACAAAGTTGTCTCAGGGCATTTTACAGGACCATTCACATATATAAAAAGGCCAATTAGTAAATTTCTCTAAGGAATTCCACATTTTTAAAATTTATTTCAGCTTCTTCCACTTCCTTCTGGTAATTTATTCAGCATTTTCATCCACTTTTCACAAATTTGTTGCCAAGTTCAGCTTTTTGAGTTAATTCCTTAATTGTTGTGCTCATTTCTGCTTATTTAAACCTAATTCAGCAAATATGTGTTATTTCTGCTTTCTTCTGCTAACTTGGGCTTGTTCTTCTTTTTCAGCATATTTTTAGATAATTTCAGCTGTTTTTCAGCAAGTTCTTCTGCAATAAGCATTTGCACTGCATTTTTGCAAGAAATGCAATTTCTCTAGTTTTCAAAGCTTTTCAACATCATTTAGCAGATTTTCCCCTAACCTTTACAGTTTTTTCTGTTGTCTGCTCAAACATTCCAGTTGGGAGAGTTTTGTTATGTTTTCACATCGAGTCATACGGCCTTTCACTCAAACTTGCTGCTGGAATCAGAACGGGACAACTGCAGGATGAAGAAAACGGGGGTCCAGATGAAAACAGACTTCAGGGGGAAAACAGTTCAAGCTTTTTTTCAAGGGAATCATAGCATACTAATTACAAGTTATGAGCACAGTGTAATTCCAAGCTATTAATATTGTTTTAGTCTGATTTTTTTTTCAGACTCGACTACAGAAATTGTTCTACACCCACAGTTATTATCAACAGTCTGAGCAAACAGGAATCAATCAGAGACAGGAAGAGGTGAATGAACTGCTGCCTCGATGAAAAACACCACGCTGGTCATACCGAACTATTTACCCAATTGGCCAGTTTTCACATGTCCTCCTGATTATGTTTACATCCCTCTTGTTGCTAACCAACCAAATGCACGTGACGTCATCCACTTCGTCGGCAAAACACTTTTGCTTCGGTATCCAAGTAGTTTCAAGTATTGAGAACCGATATAAACAGCTTCCTTACAGAAACGGTTCTTGTATCTAAAAACCTACAGATAATGACCGGACTCGAACATTATTTACCTGCATGATAAGCTATGGATCCTCTGCTCCAACCTGGATGTCTGTTTTTTGGATAGTCCTGAAAATCAAAAAGAGAAGTTAGTTGAAGGAACGAACTACGCTCAGTCACAAAAACAAAAGCACCCAGGAAGAGCGAACCAGTTTGGGTATGTTGTGGTGCACGTGCAGACCGTACATGGGTTTGTGTTTGCAAAGAGCTGGCACATCTAAAACAGATGGCGTGATGGCGTTATCAGGCAGCTACTAGAGCATCCAACGGTTAAAACAGTGAGTGATGGTCAGCGGAAACAGAAAATGTATGTAGACTCAGACAGCACTAACAGCACTTGATAGGAGTCATTGTAGGATTGTGTTGTGAAAACAATTACCATTCATTCATTCAACCTTTATTTAGACGGGTAAATCCCATTGAGCCTCGAGGACTCATTTACAAGAGAGACCTGAAAATTACCAAGCATCTGCAGCTTGACGACGGTACCACTGGGTACACGATGGCCTCTCCATTGGCCCAGATAGACCACATCGCAGAAGAACTGTTATATTGTGCAGCAATCATTAAAGAAAGCCATCTGTAACTGCCATCAAGGCTCAAGTATTAGACTCTTCACAACATCCTGCCCCAGGTGGCAACGCCTGCCATCAGCCACGCTACAAACTCACAGTTTCATGTGTGGGCTACCAACGGGGCTTAATTTGAGCCGGATCCAGGAACTCTCTTATTTTGACAGGGTGCGTTCCGGTAACAGTTTGCTTGGATCCAGTAACTCTCAGGCTTACTAATAAAGTTGTGAACAAATATGACTACCTCGAACAAACAAAACTTATAATGGATATGTAAACTGAAAATAATTACATAAACACTAATTTTAAACACAACAGCCACTCACGAATATATGAGCGCCCCCTTCCAGTAGCATTTCCGCGTCTACTCTTAATAAAATTTCCGTGGTGGGGTTGAGTGCCGAGCCAACCAGGCAGCCGTACGCGGGCAGGTGCCTGGAGGTTCTAATGTGGAGTCGCACAACGAGCGGGGACAGCGTTAGGCTCTGAACCGTCCAGTAAAGGGGGTGGTGTCGGATGCTTGACAGAAGCTGAGTGTTTACATATGTAGGTAAACGTAGATGTTTAACAACCTGTTAAAATACAACAAAATGCAGGAAATCCCAT